GATGAGAGGAGATAGTGAATACAGAATTGAAACAGTAATTCTATCCCAAGAAATGAAAGGTATGTTCTTCCTGGATTATTTTGAATTAAGGTTTTTTTTGTTCAAGAAGCACTTAGAATATTGTGTACTACCAGAATGGAGCTGGCATGCTACAAAGAAACCATCTGGATATATTAGTTATGCAAAATTTGTTGCATTTAACTCCTGGTAGCAGCAGTCTTTCTACAAGAGATTTAGGAAGAAATCCCTCTGTTGCAAACCAAATTTGGAAGACTTACAGAAAATCATTTTCTACAGGTCCAATTCCTAGCCTCATGATCATCTCCCAGATACAGCAACAAATTAGCCATTGACATCTGGACTGGTTATGCTAGAAATTCTTTAGAAATAACAGAAAATTGTAAATTCCAAAACTACCATTATTTTTCACCATAGGAATGTCTTTGCAAATGAATATAAATAGTGTAGAAGAAACTAACAATAAGATTAGAGGCATGTTTTTTGGTTTCTCTCCCAGAAACTATTTTGATTAATATACAAAAAGATCATTTTGTTTTGGGAAAAAAAAACCAAAAAAACAAAAAACAAAAAACCCGAAAACAACAAATATTTAAGTAAATAAGATAAAGTATGAATTGCACGTCATCTATATTTCATCAGTGGAAGAGTATAATCTGAATTTCTTTTTCTTAGATGCAAATTTATTTGACTGCAGGAAAGCTAACTATTTGAATAAAATATAAATATATCTAATATGCACAGTTTTTACTTTGTTGTTCAAAATACTAAATACTGGGGTTTTTCTTATATCTTCTATTCCCCATTGAAACTTTTTTTTTTTTTTTTTTTTTTTTTTTTTTTTTTTAACTAGCAATTAGCAATACAGGCATTTAAGAGACTTAAATCTCCAGATGTAAGTTACCCAAATCTATTTACTAAAACATCTGCAAAGAGTTTCGAAAATAATTATTAATCTATTTATTTTCTTGAAATATGCAAATTTGTATTCTTTAAATACATTCTACCTATGTTTTCTCATTTAAGAGTGACACTATTTTAATTATGACCCTTAAAGTAGGAAGGATACTGCCCAATATTCTTTGCTGATGCAAAAAAAACAATACACATAGAGGAAGACACCAACCTTGTATGTGTTGAATCGCTTCTTGGAAAACATTTCTTATTTATGAAAGGGACCTTGGGTTGCTTGATTCTCGATTTGAGTACATGATGTTCAAATAAACATGCAGCTGTCTGTCCCCTGCCAAGGAAACCCCACATCCTACAACCATGTGTACTGTAGTATGAATAAAGGTTTGTGAGTAATAAAAAGAAAGGAAACATAATGTTACACCAAGTAAAGAAAATTGCATATTCAGTAAAACATGTGCCACTGAAATAACAGTCAATATGACATTCTAAACTTGCAGCAGTTTATCTTTGAAAATTTACTTAGGAACCTTTGAAAAGGGTTTCTTTTTTAAAACTAATAATGAGTTTGGGGTTGTCATTGTAGACAACATAAAGGTATCATTTTTCAGTTGTAAAACTGAAACTAACATTGTTTCCCATTGTAAACAGATGTTCAGATTAGCAAAATGTAGTTGAGCTGCTGAGAGTAGTATTTTAAGGTCACATAATTATCAAAAGAATAGTTATTTCAGGAATGATTAAGTGACATTAATTAGTAATTCTGCTATAAAACTCTTTGCAATAAGTCAGTAATGCTACAGAGCAATTACCATATCTTACTGTATCATTCTTAGAATTCTTTTTCACTACCACTTTCAGTAGATGCAGTACAGTCATTTTTACTGAGCTTGAATATCTGAGCACCTATCTGAAATGCAGATGCAAACATTCATAATCTTAAAATAGTACTTGTAAGCTGCTTAAGGCTCCTAATTTGTTTTACTTTCATTAGCCAGCTGTAAGATATTCTGCTCTGTATTTGAAAGAGATTTTGGATATGTTTGTCATAAAATTTTCAAGAGCTATAAACAGTTAGAAGTATTATCCCTACATTGCAAGGGAGAAACTGTGCATAAAGACTTGACAACAAGAAGGCTGGCAAGCAAATTCGAGAGAGCTAAGCTTTGCATAGAAAAAAGGCTTTGTGTAGCAGTAATTCTTTGTACAGTCCATGTGACATTGTAACATAGATATTAAATGTGGGATGAGCAGGAAAAATAGGTTTTGCAGGGGATTTAGAAGCTTGTTTTCATTTCAGTGAAGAGAAAAATATTCTATTCATCTACAAAAAGAAAGAAAAGAAGTAATAAATTCTCTTCTATCTCTTGATTTATGTTTGCACTTATCAATTATATTTCTTTCAGCTATAACTATTTCAAGTTTTTTTATCGTATGTAATAAGGAGTAATATTAACTTTTAAGTAAGATACATTTTTCAAATTTAAAATTATGAACTATTTCATGTTGTTGATATTAAAATATCCCCACACATATCATGATGCACTCCTTGGTCATGGACACTTATTCTTGGCCAGAGAGAAATTCAATTAAAATTAGGACTAACAAGGGAAAGTTATGGGCACTTAATAAAAATCTCATCACAGGAGGTCACTCTTTCCCATTTGGCCCTATTCCTTCCAGATATCATCATGCTTCAGGGGAAAAAAAAAAAAAAAAAAAAAAAAAAAGTAATAAAGTTTTATTTGTAGAGAGTTTTTGATTTTTATTATTAGATAACTTGTAGAATTAGTTGCTTAGGTATCTTGGTTTTTTTTTGATACATTTTTTATAGTTCAAAGGTAAATAAAAATGAAAAGAATAGTGTCTTAGAGCTGAATTAAATATATATAGCATCTCTTCTCTGAGAGAAAAATTACAGTAGAAAGGGATATTAAGTAAGGAAAGGGAAGAAAGAAAAAATGGCATAGTCTTTTGTTGGGGAAGAAATGGAAATATGAATTTAATATGCCATGAAGTCTGCTCCTTAATTTCATTAAACTGTTGGAGTCACAAAGAAAACCCACACCCACACCCACCCACAGCTTTCCTTTTCTTTTTCAGCTGCAGCACTCCACTGCATCCAGATTATGACCTTGCTGAAATGTTTTTTTTTTCCTTTTTTTTTCTTTTTTTTTTTCCCTCCAGAAAGAACTCTAGTATTTTGGCTCTTGATTTAAACAGACTTTTATCCAAGTCATTGTGATTCTAGTATTTTTTCTTTCTTCTACCTGATGCATGTTTGTCCTAGAAAATGTCTGTTGAGATTTTGAATCTTGAAACTCTTACTGCAAGTCGTCCCACTCTTGTTTCCCTCCTTTGCCAGTCACATAGTAAGTCATAAATAACATTTTTAATTCTGAAAACTCTGAGTGATTTCAGTGCTTAGGAGAATAAAACTCCCTGGCTACAGCCAGGCCTCTGTAGGCAGAGAGCAAGGGTGATTTTCACTTCAGTTGTGTCCCTTCTAGGAAGAGGCAGAGCTACTCAGAAGTGTTTAGCTCTGAAAATTGGAGACTTCTTCCCAGTAAAAATAAAGTTGTGATCATGATAATTGCAATCTGTATCTTTCAGGCTGACTCACTAAAGACATTTCCTCATCCTTCTGCTTATAGTCAGTCCACTTAATAATAAATCACTAATTTCCAACTCTCAGTAGAAACTGTTCCTTCTTGTGTAAGTTTTCATATCCTTTACCTCCTGTCTGGGTCACAGGATGCATTTGGAAATGCATCACAACCACCCATTAAACTTTAACCTTGCCCACCCTATTCCACTAGTATTTTCTTACAAGCTTTCTTTTTCTTTCTTTCTTTTTTTTTCCCCATGTGAATAATTCCAGGATTGTGAAACAGTGTCGATGAACTAAACAGTAATGAGTCATGTTATCCTTCCAGTCTTCTCTTGAAAAATACAGATTTATTGCAGTGTTTCAGTAAACTGCCATGCAGCATTATGAATGGATAGCAGACATCACTGACACAGCATGTTATACTTTTAAAACACTGAAAATATTAATAATACACTTTGAATCCTAGAGATTATACACATAATATATTTTTACATTCTCAGGTCAGTCATTATTGTTTTACGTTTCCTCTATTATGCGTATTTTCCATATTCTTCCAGTATATTATGATTGCTTAGACTGAATCCTTGGGATTTTTCCCTGTGTGTTTATATCATTTTGAGTACTAAAGCTGAGATTACTGACAACTACTCAAAACTTTACAATATTACAATGTCTCAGTGAAAAAGAGAAGCAGGAGATCTGTTGCTGATATGTTCATATAATTAATGTACTGGAATAGCCATGCAGATGATGAATGCACAGTGGGTAGAGAGATTTGATTTATCTGTGTAACTAGGTTTTGAAAGTAAAGTTTTGACCAAGCCTTTTTAATTTTTCATGATGTTAGGACATTCAGGTGCATTTGGACAGCCTCCACCTTAAAAACTGGGATAAGCTTATTTTAGGATGGAAAACATCATTTATTTATTTGTTTCAAGCTCTTGCTGGTTTTCTAGCTAATTAGGCTTCGATCTTCAAAACCATACATTTTTATCATCATCATATATTTTTATCAGCACTTCACAGAAATTTTGGATCATGCTGTTTCATACTTTCATGTATCTTCCTCACAAGAGGATATTCCTTCATTGCAACACAGTAAAATGACTCTCATTAACCTGTTTTATGTAATTCAGAAGCTGCATCAGTTTCAAATTTCCAAACATTCAAGCTTGGATATATAGAGTTGGGTTTCTGAATTGGTAGCTGAAATTTCCAAATCAAAACATCTTTGTTTATACTGAGTTCAGAATCTTTAGTTATCAAGGTAATAAAATTATTGTTTTTCCCTTATAGCAAGTAGGTAGTTTGTACATTCTGATAAAGTCAGAACAGCAACTATTTTGAATCATTTGTGAGGCATCTTGAATATTCTTCTTTTTTTTTTAAATGAAAAATACTCTCAAGAACTTCAAATGCAAAATTGAGAAGTTTCTGTTGAAATTTGTATATTAGTAAACAGCAGTAGGCATGGGAGGGTTGTGTATATATTTATGCATTGCATTAGATACATATGCACAGCATTTCTCTTATTCACAGCCATCTGAATTGTGCTAAGAGCATGAATAACAGGATAGTATAATAGCATATAATAGGATGATTTTTTTGTTTTGTACATCCTATCTCATTTATTATATTTAATCACTCCAACTCCTCAATTCAACTTCGGCAAGTTCTTATCACAGGGGATGTTATCTGGACTGTTCCTTCTATCGACACTGTTCTGGTTCTTTTAATTTACACATTTTCACTAGGTAAAATGTAGCCTTAACATAAAATTTAGGACCAACTGGGAATTGAAAGAAAAAGACTTTACTGGAAATTCTAATAGTACAGAACATTAACAGTGAACCATGAATATATTTTGATTCTGCTGCAGCAATAACTTTACAGCAAAACAGTGCTTAAAAGTAAGCATTTCAAGGTAAACGTTATTTTCATATTAGCATCTGGAGTAAAAGCATCTTTCATCCCTATTTGTTCCCCTGTGGGACCACTCTTCCTATTGGAACTTCCTGATTATTACTAATTTAATCCAAAAGGGCACATATATGGTTTAACTATATTCCAGGCTCAAATCCATAGATGCTACCATAGCATTAGAAGGTCTGCTCTGAAAAGATGGCAATGAAAGGCAGGAATTTCAAGGAAGTTTTTTTCTTACCTAAAACTAGGATATCAGTAAAATTAGAAGGGGAGTGGGATTATTATTTTTCAAATGATCAAAGCAGGAGGTTAAAAAATGGATGCCATGGATTTTAGAGTTTGTGGTTCTAGATTATACTAAATATAGCATTTTCATAATTATGCTTTTCATATCCAACATAACAAGGCTTATATAATAATTATAATTCCCCCTCCCCCCCACTGAACAGATAGAACAGTAAAAATAAAAGAAATCCACAGGGAAACAATTTAGTAACTATCAGCAGTTCCTTGATCAAGAATATCTGCTTCTCATTATGCAGAGATAAATTAAGAAATCAAGCAGAGTACCAAGGAACAATTTGGAGGCAACATGAATCAAAAGAAATCTTAAGTTTCCTCTGAATTTTATCCAGCTGTGCTCAGCTTCAAGGCTGAGAGAAAGAACAAAATAATGATAGTGTACTCAGTGAACTCACAACATTTTCTGATCTTATTTTCTAAAGAGATGACAGAAATACTCATAGACTGACTAGCAAGATTTTGTCTGTGGAGTCTGGAGGTGCCTGTTGCATTTAATCTTAAAATATGAATTCAGAGGTGTGAGGTTTGTCATTATTGATAGGAAATAATGAATTCGAACAAATACAGGATACAATTAAGATACAGTTAACTGTTTTCTCTACATGGTGAAAAATACACAGCAGAGTTCATTTTTAGGGACAGAGCTCAACAAACTCTAACGCCTGAACCATTGAAGGGTACTCACAAATCTTCAACGTCCTCCCCTTCCTCCTACCACAGCACCATCCTCCTTGTCTTGTCAGGATTGAAGCTTTGCAGTTTCGTATAACCATATACTCAGGTTTCCAGAGGAAAAAGATGAAACAAAAAGTAAAATTTCTGTTATCTTTCACAAAGCTATTATTGCATTGTAAGCAGAACCTTACTGAAATAAATACCTTCCTAAAAAATTTCATACATTTTACTGTACTTTAGCTCCTTTCAGATGCTTTTTCTTCTGCCTCTAAGCTGTTTTTCTCATCACTTCTATATCAAGTTCTCTCCTTCCCCTTATACATAGGTGACTACAAAAGTAATGCCTCCTATATATTTCCATGGAAACAAGAACAGCTACAAAAGAGCACAGTAACATCTTTTGATAAAGCAAATTCTCAGCTGAAAAATGCTATTTTTTCAACATAGTCACCATCATTAGCTATGCATTTTCACTAGAGATGAATAAGAGCCCGCATGCCTTGCTAGTAAAAATCTGGAACATTACTTGTCTTTCACATTGCTGTCACCACTGCTGAAACACACTGTCTCACTGTGCTCACATCCACTGTTTGGTTTACATAACGCTCAACAAGCATCAATGAGTGTCAATGAATGCCATTTTTTTCTGCATGGAGGAATTCAATGACACGCTTTTGATTAAGATGCACTTCCATGTCAGATGTCACTTGGTCAGACTGCTCTTGTGCTGCATCTGTTGTGCAACAAAATGTAATGGAAGGTTCAACTTCTACTGCCATAACTGCCATAACACCAACAGCTGCCTTTGACACTATGGGCCAAAATAATAAAATAGGAGATATTACTTTTAGTTCTCCTAGTTTAAACTCCTTTACACTTTTCTCCTGAAAAGAGGCAAGCAACCAATATAGAGGAAGCAAAGAAAAGTTCTTTGTGTGTATCCTTTACACTGTTCGTGCATGTTACTCAATTGCCTGCATAATCTATTTCTGTCATTGGTTTTTGAGAGTCATATTGTCTTTTAAACAGTACTTATTACAGTAATGTCTTTTATTTTGCTAGTTACTGCTAGAACAAACAGAATGCATTGTATTAACTGCAGCTTAGTGCTCCTCTGCTGGAGAAAAAATACACTGACTTTTTATAGAAATCAGAAGCAAAATTGTTGGATAATTTCCGATATCTACAGGAAAATAAAATATCTGCCTGACTTATATACTATCATTCACAGTTCTTCAAGCTTTACTATGATTAGTTCTATAAGGACACTTTTCTAATATTATCCCTGTCTTTATATCTTAGTATCCCTATAATCTTATTTGTTTTCTGAGCTTGTTTCAAATCATGACTTGGGATGCTGGGAATTTTAAACATGGGAACATTTACTGAGTGAGGGGAGGCAAGGCTATTTTCTCCTTTGGTTTTTGTGCGCCAGCCTATTAGCTGCTGACAGTCTTTATTGAATCAGCCTGTGGCTTAAATCCAGAAGTGAATTACAATGTAAGATCACAGTTACGAGCTCGGAGAAAAAACAATGTTAGTGCATTGACAGCTGTGATCAAATCTGTCTGTAGTTCTCTCAGAGGTAGAAATCCCTAGGTGGCAATCAAAGATTTAATGGATAGGAATTTACAGGCTGAAAACATAATGGTCTCCAGCCAATGTGGAAAAAAAAAAAAAAAAAAAAAAAAAAACAGAACTACTTTAAGCAGAATGCTCTCTTGATTGAGAAAATGATACATTAAGGCTTTTGCGGGCTAATTTAAAACATCTTCCTCAGAAAATCTAGTCCTTTCCTCCTCAATCCAAAAAATATTTTATATGTAAAATCTATTCAAGCATAATGTATTTTTTCATGCAAGATACTAGAATGCGGTTAGATATCTGTGTGGCCATGGACTCTTTTCTTCAATTTCACAGTTTTGCAATTGGTTTGGAGATTAAGCACTTCAGAGTGTACATGTTTAATATCCAGTACAAATGTGGTACAAGATCAGTGTTGGTTTTGAGAAGGGTAACTGTAGGCCGAATAAAAAAATGGCTGAATCATCTTTCTGATAAAAAGAAACTAATTCTTTTTGCTGTGTACAAGAAATTAAGACTCATACTGCCCCAAATATGTAGCAATGTCTGCCTAACCATTGCAGTTTAGAATGACACAGTCTGACAGCTGTAATTATATCTATGCATAAGAACAACTTCCTGATATGCTGCAGAGCAATGCTAAGATTAAGATTCCCTTTTTATCTAAATGAAAATTTTGTTGCGTTATGATGATGGAACCTGGCTGAAGTATAAAGCGATCACTGCATAGTGCTCTGTTGATTATTCTAGCATGGAGCACTTATTCCTCAGAAGGAACACATGCAGTTCTTTCTGGGATCTCTTTAGAGATATGATGACAATGCTTTGTGGGTCAAAACACTGAAACCCATCAGTGAGAGTGTTCTTGGAAAGTTGTAAAATAGTGACATGCTGGCAAGTATCTTCGACCTGCTCAGGCTGGGTTGGAGCAGATCCAGCTGATGAATGAAACTGATGGATGGTGTTCTTTCCATTCATGTTTCCCTCAGTGGAAAGTGCTGGCAATGGTACGTGATCAGACTCAATGTGGGTGAAGCTCCATGGGGTTAGGAAGGGAGGAGGGCATCAGTGAGTTGCTTCATGGCCATTCCATGCCATTAAAATCCTGCCTGATAGGTCTATTACCCCTCTTAGGTATGATCTGTTTGGGAATTGGAAGTCACAAAGCAAGACACTGAGCTTTCATTCATTGCTCCCTAAATCTTTCTGTTGTTCTGACTGAAGTTTTAGAAATTATGTGATATTTGATGTTACTATGCCTTTGGTTTTGTTTTTTTTTTTTAATATGTATATTTTAAATGATTTGAAAGTTTTTGGAAATTACTATTCCAGTTGGCCAATTGAGACAATGACAGAGAAGATCAGGAGAAGGCCCTGGACAGCCAGTCTAGTGCCTGATTTAGTGGTTGGCAACCCTGAATGCAACATGGATCTAGATCATCTCTGAGGTCCCTTCTAACCCAAGCCATTCTAGGATTCTATGTTTCTCTAAGATGGGCTTTCTTCCCTCCCTCGCCATGTTGTTTTGTCCTTGTATTGCTCAATGGTTCAATAATTCAGGGATTTGCCTCCTTTGTGACCACTTAGATCTGCTAAAAGATTCTCAAGAGGATATTTACCATCATGAATGCTTTTCTGGATAAAAAAAAAAAATCCTGTTATAGGTGTTAAATAAGTTAAAAATGAATCTGGAAAAAGTTATACTGAAAATTAATATTAGAGAGCCATAATTCTCAGTTCTTAAACAACTTGGTGGATAAACAAATATAGAAATATATCAATAATTTAAATCAAGTTATATTACTGTTAGCTGTTTGAAACTTACAAAGTTTACTGCAATTAAAAAAAAAAACACAAATACAATCCCTACAACTTCATCTTGATCCTTACAAAATGCGAGGATCAGAGGTGAACGCTGGAGAACAAAGAGTACCACCACATGGTCCATCAAAGTGTACTGAATGAGCAATGCTTTTATCACAGAAAGAGGGACATTAAGTATTCAGACAGTCTGGAACTGTTAACATATCCTTCGGGTTCTGCTGTCCTGTCAGTATGTACATGTTATTCCTGATAATGGAAAACAAGAAAATGTAGGGAGATGAAACTAGATGTTAGAAAAACTGTACTGTTTTAAGTGCACTGAAATTTTGCATTATTCAAAGAATGAAAGCAAAAAAGTTTCAAATGCAAAACTATGTATTTGTTCCCAACCCTTGCTTTTTACTAATTTTTACTGATTTATTTCATTCTAATGTTCCAAAAGTCAAATCTCTATAACTGCAGGTGTTGCCGCTCTCTCTGTATCATTCGTTTTCTACCCCATAAGATGCTGCTTTGCCAGCGAAACCGACCCTAACCAGGCCGGGGCCAAATGCTCACACAGACCCCAAGTATAGGTGAAGCAAAATGGCGTTTATTAAAATGTAGCAGGCACTTAAATATTCTTAAATATTTAATATACTTAAATACTTAATACTTAAATATTCTTGTCCCGCTTTGTCTACACCCCTTGCATACACGCTGTCCTATTATGGGACAGCACCTGGCAAGCCCTGAGCATAGGGAACCTGACCCCGTCACACACCGTCTCCTCGCCACGCCTACTACATCTCCCCCTCCCTATGCTCAGTAACATCCCGTAACAGCGCGAACGCAAACGCTACAATTGTTCCCGATACCTGTGA